TCGGCCTATACGAACGCTCGCCAAGTAACACCGTCAAGCACAAACCCACCGAGAATCCCCGTGAGTTGTACTGGTAAATATACTGGGTTGGAAAATCCACACTACCTTCGGTTTCTGTCGCTCGTTGGAGAGAAAAGCTCTTATTGGTGAATAAATCGTCTTCTTCCTCTCTCTTTGGTCGTCGTGCCTGGCTAGCATTCGTTGAACACGGCCTCCAGCACCGCCTTCAACCCTCACTTCGTATTGAGCGAGGCCCAAGCTGCCTCAATGACTCTCACCCTCACCGCTCACTGGCGATCGGCCGAAGTGCGACCGATGCGAGCGCGACGCTTCAAAGCATGCCCGTATTCTGGGTGCTCGAAGCCTGCCAGCCCGAGTGCCCTCTCCAGTCCGTCGGCCAACAGACCGGACGCCGCGAGACAACCGACGCGACGCTGTGAGCTGTAAGCCGAGCTGACTTGGATCCGCTGACCCAAGCGAGCAGACTGACGCGATGTGGCCCAGAAATTCGGATATTATCGGTGAATGGTGCCGTGTGAGCCAGTTATCCGCTCATTATCGGGGCGAAAGTCCGGGAGGGTCGATGACTGTGAGGTTTCCGCCGTGAGAGGCTAGTGAAGAGACGATGTTTTTCTAGGAGAGCCACCTCTAGGATGCTCGACGTGATCGGTGAGTTTTAGCATGTCGGCCTGTGATCTAGGACCCCGAAATGGTCAAGCCAGGATGACCGCCCTGATCTTCGGTCTTTCCTCTGCCGGAATTCGGAGTGGCTCCCAGAAAATTGTGCTGAGCGCAGGCTCCCTGAGAGTTAGGCCTAAACCGGACTCCCCTTCCCCAATAAGACTGATACCGATCGAAAGAATCGTTCGAAATCGCGAGTGGCTCCGCAAGCGAAATTCCCGGTTCGAGTCCCGAAACGCGTGGTAGTCATCGGATATGGTTGATACGGTGACGCTCTTCTCCTCGAGATAGACGGTGCCCCTAAGCCTCGCACAGAATATACGGGGCTGGAGCTCGAATGGAGAATGCCCAAGCGGCTCTGTTCAAGACGCGTCCTCGATGTTCTCATGCAGCGTAGCCACGTGCTTTTCGATTCCCCTCGAAGCACAAGGGCTTCAGCAGAGCAAGGATGCCTGTGATTACTGCTCAGTCGGCCTCGTGGTCGATCATCCAATCAGAACTCGCGTTCGAGTTCCAAATGTCTCGGGTCTATCAATATCTGGTACCTGCTGTGATCTCGCAGGGAACGTCCGACCCTACTACATGTAATGTCTCAAAATCCGTTTAAACATCGAGTCGCTCGCTTCCCCAGATGTCTGCTCGATCGGCTCGAGCCCACTGTCATCATCACTGATACCTGACGAGAGCAGACGAAGTCACGGTAAGTTTCCATCGAAGGCGAGCCGACACGAGACCCGTCTCGGGCATATGATTATATCGAATTCAACTTTCTTTCTCTCTCACAGGTGATGCTCGGTTTGTGGAGATGGTTGGTGTCAGTATCAGGGGTCCCCCGGCGGCACATCGCGAAGAAATTGCGCAGCGCCTGCAAAACTCGTTCGCGATACGGAAGATACCCCTGGAGTAGGGTACGAACTTGCGCTTTTCATCATCATACATTGGAGAAGCTGCATACAGAAGACATAAGGCCGGTAATCAGAGTCTCCAAGTTGCCAAGTGAGTGATAGCGTATCATGGTAGGGACAGAACATGGAATAGCGACGCACTCGATGCAATAAGGACACGAGTTCGGCTACGATGGGCCCGATTTCGCCTGCATGCATTCCCCATTGGAGGGATTGGAGAATTCCGATTCCTGATTGCGTCCTCCTTCTTTCCAGAGAAGCATCCGCTGCCTACGACTTCCGCTGACGTTGGAGACTCATGTCAGGAGGGGATATCTCGAGGTCTTTCTTCTGAAGGAGACCGAGACCGAAATCCGTGGCTGTTCGGGGAATCGACAAGAGAGCTCGACCTCTCGGAGTTCTTCTCGAAATTGAATCGATACTGGATTCATCAAACGAGCTTTCCGGAGTCCTCGTCGCTCAACGCTCCATCGCAACGAGTTTCCATGATTGGGAGCCGGCCCCGCCGATCATGGCGGTCCTCCGTTGATCGCACTCGGAGCATGGACTCCAGCGAAAACGACACCGCCCGAATTTTCATTCCCCATGATCCGACCGAGTTTCCTGTACCATATCCTGGAATTTTCTCAGATCGCCACTCCGGAACCTCATCCACAAGAAGACGAAGACATGCGCGTATCATCATGCAGGGGAGGACCGAAGGGCCTCTCGGTGCGCGGCTCGGATGGCCTGCACGGTGACTGCCCAACATTTCCTCCAACTTCATCAAGTAGGCCGGTGCTCGACCCCGGAGCCCCCTACCGGAAAATCTGACGAGAGTCTGTGAGGTCGTCGCTCATCGTCCGAATCTCGTCAGGGACATGGAATACAGCTCCTGGCTCACCGTCGCTCCAGAGCACTCTGAGGGCCCGGCGCCGGGCCAAGATTCTGCTCGCATGTGTCCACATCGGAGTCTACGCCCCCACACCTCTAGGTAATGGTTCAGGCTCTCGTCTGCCTACACCCGGCGCAAGCAATCCACGAGCTCTATGGATTCCAGAGAAGCTCGAGGTCTCTCACGCTCGTGGACGCCTTGAACAAGGGGGCCGGGAGCCTCAGGCGCGTTTACGCGGCTGCCGTCCGACGTGGGGGAGGCAGAAATTGAGTTGTAGGACTTTTTCGTCCGGCTCTTCTCGAGCTCCGATGGAGAAAATGCCCAGCGACGATATTTCGAAGGCTGCAGTATGTATACCGGTACTGTCGGTCACTTGAGCCATGGACACCTAGTCTTCGTGTAATGACTACGTCTGGACGCACCGGAGTTCGAGATCAAACTGAGTGTTTATTGATTGTTCCACAAGAGGGCGCGCCACGGCGCCTTCCACAAACGTGCATGTATTACATCCTTCCCCTTTATAATTTTAAATAGATATGAGGACATGCATTAAGTTATGGTACACGCATGAGCTGAGTATTATGATCGCGGGGCTTTGAGTAATTAGGCGGAGGCTTTTTTCTGCCTTTGCATGATTCGTTCTGATCTTCTAAGACTTTGACTAGGGGGCACAGCTTCTGCTAGACCTGCGGACGAAGTGCCAGGGTTTACGACGGGAGCGGATGATGAAGCGGGTACCGGAGTAATATCGGCTTTGTTTCTGCGATATGTTACACCACTGTTGTCGTTCCGTATATCGTATGAGCGAGGGACACTGTGAGCCGTTACAACCGTTCCCTTGATCCACGCTTTGCTGTTCCTATCCCGGACGCGTATTTTCTGACCCTCCACGAAGTCGGGACGCTCTTGAGTCTGTCTATCGTAATATGCCTTCTGTTTCCTTCTTTCCTCTGTGATGAGTTTCTGGACGCGTTCTGGATCAATCGTCCTCGGCGCTAGGATGGCATTGTGGACCGGGAGGAGTGTGCGAAGCCGTCGCCCCAACAATCTCTCCGACGGCGCACCAAGCTCGACCGATCCCGGCGATGTTCTGAGTTCCATTAGTGCTGTGTAGAATTCCGTGGTACCAAATTGATGTTTCCGCAAGATCTTTTTTGCCTCTTGAACGGCGCGCTCGGCCAACGAGTTCCCTCTGGCATAGTAGGGACTACTCGTGACGTGTTGGATATCGTGGACTTTCATGATTTGCTCGAACTCATACGACGTATACTGCGGCCCATTATCCGTCCGGAGGACTCGAGGCATGCCGAAGTGTTGGAAGGACTCGAACATGCCTCTGACGATGTGCTTCGTTGTCATCTTGACAAGCGGGGCGAGGGTCCAATAGAAACTATAATGGTCCACGATCACCTGATAATCGAGGCCCTCGTGCGTGAGGATATCAGCGCTAACCATTTCCCAAGGTAGCGATGGG